GATGATGGCGGAAAATTAGTAAACCGGCAAAGAGGAAGTCAGTGTAAATTTAAAACTTAAAAGTTAAAATTAAGTAAAAAATGTAGTAAAGGGAAAAAAAAAATTTTATTTGAGTGAATATTATAAAAAATTGAAATTAATGTCATAAAATTGACTTAAATTTGATCAAGTTTAAGTAAATTAAATAAAAATAGTAAATTTAATCAAATGCATACAAATTTAAAACAAAATGACATTAATCACTTAAACTTATCCATCCCGACTCAGACTCGAATATCGTTTCACCCGAATAGTACCCCGTAGAAAAACTGACAGTTTCTGTTCGTTGAGCTGACGCGTCGACTGTGTTTTAGGAGGCGACGATCCGCAAGCAAACAAGAAGGCGCTGGCTGCTTACTTCACGCGCGTTCTCTCCACGCTGGGGCTAAACCTGGAGAACAAGGCTGAGATGTACAGCGAGCCGTGTCTGAAAGCCATATTCCTGCTCAACAACTACAACTACATACACATGTCGTTACAGAGGTTACTAGTACTATTACTATTACTATTACTATTACTATTACTATTACTATTACTATTACTATTACTATTACTATTACTACAGTATTAATATTACTATTACTATTACTATTTGTTACTATTGCTATAACTATTACTGCAGCAGCAGCTTAGCAGCAGCAGCCACACCACACCACCACGATCACTATCACCACCATCAGCAGCGCACTGCTGCCACCACTGCCACCATCATACGACTGTTCCTGCTGTATTCCCCCCCCCCGGACTATCCTGCCCACGATCATTGCTGCTGGTTCCCCCCTGAGTACCTTGCCCCATCCTCACCACTGTCGCAAACCTCTAGATCGTTCCGGGTTGTTTTCTCCAAAGTACTTGATCGCCGCTCGCCAGCCGCCTCCATGCACTCGAGTACGCCGCCAGGTCTGTCGCTGTGGCTGCGCTCCTTCAATCTACGGGACTCCACCTTCCCTGGCGTGTTGTGGAAGTTGAGGCGTGGTCGAGTAGCGACAGAGTCTGCTCGATGTCTAGCGCGAGCGAGAGAGTCAGGGAAGGAGAAGACGATAGACCGTGGAACGCGTCCAAAAACCAAGCTGCGGCGAGGAAATTGCAAACTAAATGCTGCGATGTCTAGCCTCTGGCACGACCGATAGCTCACGATATAAACACTATTACACATGCGAACTCATCTACCTTGCGCACATGTATAATAATATATAGATGTCGAATAATATCTACTTTACATGAAGAATACATGTAGAGACGTAAACATATAACAGGCGTACATGCACCCGTGTCGATGTGAGGGTAAGATGTAGTGCCAAGTAGACAAGGATACTGTGCTGCCTTCCGCTGAAGGTTTCCAGTCTCTTCATAGACTGGCAGTATGGTCTCTTCTAGCTGCAGCAGGCGGGTTTTCAAACGACGTCAATATTGGACACCATGTTTGTTGTCAGCGTGTTCACTTTTTGCACAGGACTCTTGCAGCATGGTGAGAATTCTCTTGCTCCTAAAATCAAGCGTGCACATTGCTATTTAAAAAATAGTTTCAGGACATTGAAAAGCCATAGAAATGCATTGAACAACATGGTGGAATACCACTGGACCTACATACATCATATTACATGTGCACTTTATTAAGCAGGTCAGTAATACTAATAGGAAGATCACGGTAGAAACTTGTACGATGCTGCTCTACTGGTTTATTATACATTCACATATTAATCATAGTATAATAATAATATATATATTATATAAATTAATATATTATAATTAGGCCGTGGCTATGCGACCGGTTCCGCACGAGGAGCCGCTAGGCTACGCGTCCGGACATCCATCTCACACAGTGAGCTTGCGACACGTACACGCATGATTGCGCAATGGGACGCTCTGCTGATTGCTGTGTGTGTGTGTGTGTGTGAGAGAGAGAGAGAGAGAGAGGGGGGGAATTGGAATGTGTATGTGCGTGTGTATGCGTGAGAGAGAGAGAGAGAGAGCCTCAGAGAAGTGCTGTGTGAGAGAGAGAGGGCGAGAGAGAGAGCCTCAGAGAGGTGTGTGTGAGAGAGAGAGGGCGAGAGAAGAGCCTCAGAGAGGTTGTGTGTGTGTGTGAGAGAGAGAGAGAGAGAGAGAAAGACGACGAGAGAGAGAGAGGAGAGAGAGAGAGAGAGAGAGGAGAGAGAGAGAGAGAGGAAAGAGCGAGAGAGAGAGAGAGATGAGAGAGAGAGATGGAAGGCAGAAGACGAGAGAGATTAGAGGAGATGAGAGAGAGCAGAGAGAGAAAGCAGGCGAGCTTGTAACGCTCGCGTCGTGCGATGTTGGCGCTGTCAGTAGGGAGTGGTGGGTGTCTGGGGTGGGTGTGAAGAGAGAGAGAGAGAGAGAGCAGCTGTGCGTGTGTGTGTGGAGAGAGGAGAAAGAGCGCGACGATGGATGGATGAAAGGATAGACGGCAGCAGAAGGTACGCGTAGATACAATAATGTAACCGAACACAGATAGGGTTACAACGCGTCCTATGCCTTTTGTGTGAAGGAACCCCTGAGTGAATCACTTCAGGGCGGTTTGTGCTGTCGCGTTTATCAGAGACGTAGAACTTCCAAACTGGGTTTATTCTGCAACACGTTACACCGCTTATTTCGTGGAACTTTCCGCTATCCTAGAACTTACTATGTTATCAGCAATAGTCTGCTATTAAACTAATATATACGTGTTACAAAATTCGAAGCGACGAGCGGCGAGATGCGTATCATGTCACAGCTGTCAACAGAAATTGGCGCTGGAAAATCGGCCGCCTCGTTCCCCTTTTCGAATTTTGTAATACGTATATATTAGTTTATAAAGAGATATTGTGATAACATTAGTAAGTCCAGGATAGCGGAGAAAGGTTCGTGTTGAGAATACCCCTAGTCATCTTGAAAACCGCACCAGCTAAACGCCCTGAGTGATACACTCAGGCGGTTGCCTCCACACAAAAGGATAGGAACGCGTTGCGTAACCCTCTCCTTGTGACTGGTTTGGTTTACATTATCTGTATCTAAGCGTACCGTTTGCGCAAATCATTGCGTTGATACGCGAGTCGCACAAATTACTGTTGTGAGCGCGATGTCCAGGACGCGTAGCCTGGTGGCTAGGCGACCGGTTTCGGACGCAGTAGCCACTGGTTATATAATTCAATAGTAATAATGAATTAACACTGTTTAACGCGAAACACGAGTATACTCCGTTCGAACGCTGCAAAACGCGCACGAACGCGAAACACGAGTATAACCGTGGCTAAAAAAAAATGAAAAAAAATTATTTGAAGTTTACTCATGTTCTCCGTATAGTGGCAGGGGGCTATACGACTTAGCAATTCCAATAGCGTCACTAGTAGTTACCCCAGTTATGTAAGTATGAAATAATTATACAATACCATTACTAGTTGTTTGGAACGTTATTTGGGAGTTTTTGGCGACTGAGGTAATGTTTTTAGTTCTATCTCAGCCAAAGGGCGTTTGACCCGCCGTGGTGTTGTGAAGTTGTTTTTACTGTCTGACAGTTGTGTTTTATTTGAATAGGATCACGCGGTTCCTCCCTGCCCGCGCCTGCGGTGATAGATTTCCGGTGTTTGTTTTGATGTCAT